CCGTCAATTTGCTTTTGTACCTGCATCTAGCTCCCTCCCACCTCCTTTTCGTACCCGTGATGCAATAAACCCTGTTTCTCCGGACGAGGTCCTCCAGGTTTTGGGGAGACTCAAGGCCAATAAAGCTCATGGTCCCGATGGATTAGCACCTCATTTATTAAAAACCTTCGCCGACCAGCTTACGACATTCATTACCGAATTGTTCAGTACTTGTTTGTCATCTGGAACGATCCCCGATTGTTGGAGGTAAGCCCGGATCAGACCAGTCACAAAGAAAGATCGTCAAAGTACCGTCTTATTGCCTGCACATCTGTGTTGCTGAAGGCTTTTGAAAACGTTTTGCTGCATCGCATGACGACCCAGTGTAACTCAAATGACCCTTTGCAATTTGCTTATAAATCCCATTAATCCACACTTGACGCCATTTCTCGTATTGTTCATTCTGTTGCTTCCGTCTTAGACAATAGCGCTGGTGCCACGCGTTTAACTTTTCTTGATTATACAAACGCTTTTGGTTCTCTCGACCGAAGTATGCTTATTGATCTTCTTTCTGAGTGTGGTCTAACTCCTTAAGTCTTGAATGTACTAATCAACTACTTTTCCTGTAGGACTCAGGTTACTTCATTCAGTGGTGTACAATCTTCTCCGAATAACATTGAAGCCGGTGTTTTTCAGGGTGCCATTTAATCCCCTTTCTTGTTTTCCATGCATATACAAAATCTGCCCATTCTCACCAACTTTATTATTTTTAAGTATGGTAAAAATATCACTACTTTTCAATTTCAGTTTCCGGTTTTTACAACTATTAACCATGCGATTTTATGCGCCGGTTCTGGTTTCCGTCTTTGGCCGCTCATTTGGATAAAAGACCAAAATGAAGATTCGAATGTTGAGAGAAAATTCATGAAAGAAATAGAGAACTCATATAGACTTCGGTTGGAGGAATATTGAATAGATGCACGAGCTCCACTGTTTGTGACACTTGGCTTTATCACTCAGCGTTTCCAACCATCGGTCACCGGAATCTCGTGGTCCCCATCCAGGTAGCCTCCGCGTCAAAATACCAATCGCCATTAAACCAGTTGAAAACGATCGGTATTTGTCTGATTTTGGTTCTGTAGATTGAAGAGGACTCACTCCTCTGGCGACGGTCAAAATTCATCTCAGTCTGATCAAATCATTCAATGCTGAAAATCACTGACCGAATTTTATTTTTATGTATTCTACTCGTACGGCTTAGTTGAGGTGAAAAAAAACGAATCTATGCACTTGTATACGATTGTGTATACAAACCAATACTGATCCAAACAATACTCACTTTTTCCGTGAATTGGGCGGAGAAATTCGGTAACGCACTTGGAACGTCTGATTCTGTTTTCACATATTTCACAAATAATAATTCTTGCCACGAAGCGAGTTGTATGGTTGCCAAATCGATTCCATTGAATAAAGCTATCTCCTGTTGCTCGTGAGCTACCGCCTGCTTAAGAATTCCATTGACTGTGTCAAACCGGTACCGTATCATCATTCGATTTGTGCGGGGCTGCGCTCGAATCGGGATTTTGTTATAATTCCACGTATCTATTGGCTGTTGTATGCGTTTACATTTTGTCTTCTCCTTGTCAACTGTCTCTGTCTGACTAGCATTCGACCGGTCCACCACTGCGGCGTAAGCGATTAGACACGTTCCTGAACTGTCTGTTTCCCAGCCTGGCTGTAACGACGGATGCACAATGAGGAGGCTGAGAATAGCTTTCAAATGATTAAGTTCCCATGTTTTGTGTTTTCGTTTTTCAGGCACATAAATTCGTTCGACTGCATTCGTGCTGTCGTAATGAGCCACAGCTTCGAGCAAATACCTTGGTGTTTTAGGATTTGGACCAAGTGTGGCTTTCACATGCAGCAATTTCTGCCCGTTGATTAGTGGACTCCATGGGGTTGTAAGCAGATCGGTATAATACGGAGTAATGGTCACCTGACCACACAAATTTTGCAAAGGTTCTTTTTTCTCCACTGAGGTGACATTTGTACAGTAAGAATATAAGTAACTCAAATGTTTTTCAGTTTGGACAAACGTTCCCAAGGTGAACAAAATAATCGAACTCTGAAATAGGGAAGCAAGTGCGAATATCCGTGCCATTCAGGATAGTCCGTGTGGACACTGCTATACAACCATGTGGTGCCGGGGTTTGGCCATTTTCGCGTTGATCCACTTGCGAGTATGTGCACAGAATTGATTGGTCATTCTTGTTGGGCGGATTGCAGTGAGACGCGTGGCACCGTTAGACCAATCAGATGAAACACGGAAAAATCGATGCAGCACGCGTGCAGCTGTCTGCCGTTCGTTTGTACCAATGCACACTGTGATGACGCTGACTACCTTCCGACATAGAAAACCGACCATATGTGATGTTTTTTTTCGATAGATTTTCATCGGTGGACATGTATGATGCGAAATTGAACGCGTTGTTTCTCGTAGGTGTTTCGTAGAACACGTGCCTAATTGACGGGAATGCGAACAAAATTTTAAATTCGCATTCTTTATGTTTTAAGAACCGGAATTCCATCAGGAAATATGTAAATCGTGATCATAAAATTATCAAGTTATCTGAAATAATCTTGTCATAGATTTATTGTATTTAAATATCAAATGCAAAAGAGCATGTTGAAATGATAGAATTTCCGAACTTCTAGGTGAACCACGTGACTTCGTAGCTCGGCGTGCATTGTAGGTGGCTTCGATGCATGTTTTCGAACAGCACTAAGGTTTGTGACATTTTAACACATGACTTCAAAAGTTAAACAGTTCGATCACGTAATGAAATTTGAACGATTGTGATAAGTATCCGGGAGTATGTCAGAACGGCTGGCAGTGTCAGTTACTATTTAAATGGATTGATATTTTGAAAATTTAAATCGGCCATGCAATGTTCGATGACCTAACCAAAAACATCTAAATTCCAAGTAGAAAACAGTCCCGTTTCAATTGAACAAACATACTGATGTCGGGAGAAGTGATTGGCCGAAAAACATCTTCACATTTCTCTAAAATCACAATTGTTTGCGAACCTTGCATCTAGGACGAGAAAAGACCGATAAAAGTCGTTTATTGCCACCAATCACTCTTTGGGGTGACTAGAACGTGTTGTTGTGGAAATAAAATTCGACAGTTGTATCCATTGGCAATGATGGTTTGCTTTTGGAACAGGCTTCAGCTTCAGCCCACCACCTAATTACATCAATAGTTCGGCTTAATCGGTCAACATTGTGGAGGACCAGTCAGGGGACAACTTTATTACTGGATAAACTAAGAGTGAATATTTTGAAGATGGGATGAGAGTGCATCGATCAACAGGAAGTAATATTACATCGATTTAAGCAACATGGACCATAAGAACTCTCCTCGATGAATTATATTATTTACACTTAGCCAAACCGGGGGCAGAAGTACGAAAACTTTGGAACCACGCGCCTCTACGTGGGACAAGTAGACAAGAGGGCACATAAGGACAGAAAAGTACGGAATCGTGCACGCTAAGGAAAGTGCAACTGACCTCAGACGAATGTCGATAGCACATGTGGGGTCGATTATCCTTTTCTCCCGTGCTGACCTTGACATGAAATTCACGTGTGCAGACTGGTCCCAATCGCGCCTAAAATGGTTACACGGACAATGTGCTGACAAGTCATGATTTGAACCCGGTCGGGTAGGCTACTTGTCAGGGAAAATTTTCTCCGTTATTGGATTAATAAATGTTTTGTCTGATAAATCACATTGCATGCAAGTAGTGATTCATTCACGCCACCATAGAGTTGATGTACAAGAAGTGTTATGGAAAATTCCCATCTTGGTATGGAGAGAAAACACCATGGTTTTAGAGAAAAAGCTTGTTTTCGACAACTTGTCCGGGCTAATACAGTTATATAGTCCAAGTAAAATTAAAATGTGCTCCAATATCTATATGTGTTTCGTGGTTTGTGATTGTTTTTGGTGTGTGGTTGTGAAAGGGTAGGTAGGGCGGATGTGTTCATAATACGGTTGGGCAAATGATTAGGATGCGGAAGTGGCATCAAGTGTTAGGGTCACGGGGTCATGGGAAAGGTCATGTCTATCTCGAGGGTGTCACGTTGTGGCCAAGGCAGTCTGAGTGATTGTATGAATCGTTTTTGAGGGCAAAGCGATGGGTTTAATAATTGAGTGACCACGGTTTCGGCTGTTGCGAGATGACGTTGACGGGCGGCTTTCAAATGGTTTGGTGGTACCTTGTAGATGATTCGAAATGCGTCATCATCAACCCGATGCCTGGTATCCGCAAGATGGGCTACGATTGCATTTGAAATCGTTTTTCTTGCGCCTAAACGCAGCCAGGCTGGTTTGTGTCCCTTTATTCTCTGGGACAATTGCCTGGTCCTTCTGCTCACATATCTTGCAGAATATGGGAAAAGAAAAGATTAAGATGAGGTATGGATAGGCAATCTATCTTAAAAGTTCACGGACATCACCGGTCGGCTCACGAAAAGGGTGCGTAGTGTGGCGGTAGGAAAAGTTCGGGAGATTGCCTTTTCTAACCGTCGTGTCACTAATTCACTGTTATAATATCCCTTGAATGGGAGTCTTGTATATAGTGCTTTTCTCCCTACCGTCATTATTTGCTCTCTTTGAGGTTTCTCCAATAAGCTTTTTTCAACGAAACGCTTTGGATAGCCATTACTTATTAAGAGTTTCTTGAGATTTTCTAATTCCTGGTTAATACTATCATACGAGCAAATTCTTCTTGCGTGTTCTGCGAGGCATTGAACTAAGTTCCGTTTACGCTTCATTGGCACGAAACTTGAAAAGTTAATATACTAACCGGTTCATATTGGTTTTCAATAAACTGATCGCCTCAAACTACCGTCGTGAAGTTTTGTTAGGTTTATATCGAGGAAATGAAATGCACCTTCCGTTTGTAGTTCTGACGTAAAATTGATAGCATTTTCAGCTTTGTTGAAAATTTCTGTTAGCCTTTCCAGTGAGATTCTAATATTCATCAGGACTAAAATGTCGTTTACATATCGGCAGTACGGTGATAGGGAAGCAATCGTATCACGGAGCTCACGATTTTCCAGTTTTGCGACCAAGACATCTGCCAACAAGCGTCAAAATGGAGAACACAGAGCAACTCAATCAGTAACACTTGATGCCACGTCCACATTCTAATCGTTTCTTCAACCGTATTACGAACACATCCGCCCTACCTACCCTTTCCCAACCACACATCAAAAACAATCACAAAACATGAAACACATAGATATAG